CGCTCTACGAGTCTACTTTATAACAACTATAAACTTAATAAGTTGGGAAGGATGCTGTGCGCCAACAAACGTTGTAATTTATAGATCATGCCTGTAAAAATGGCGTATACCTGCACATGCAGAAATATATATTAGTATGTTATCCAGACCGTCAACTGGGACTAGAGTTGAGGATTTTCTGTACTTTCAGGTTCCTAGTTAAACTGGTTGGAAAAAATGTCATCTTGAATTTAGTAAGATCTTAGCCATTTTGCCCTGTGAGAGCACAGATCCCCTGGTTTATAGGCTTCCTCCTAGTCGCTGATCTGTAGAGATATTTAGGGTAAAATTGCATTTTGGCTGCTAGCGTGTACTGGAAATGTATCTTGAGGTTGCATTGGTTTCTTAGTATCAAGTAAGGATGACCGGTCAGAATCCTTCAGGGATATTTTCTACATGTTCTGGGCTCTTTTTTTATGCTTGTAAGCCTCCTATACATCACAAATCCCAGGACCTTATTCTTCTAGGCGTGCAGTTTGTCTGAGTTACATTTTGATGGATTGTTTGCTAAATTATATCTCACTATTTCTCAGTGGTTATTCACTGTTAGCCTTCATTACTCCCTTGGCCATGGGATGGTTAAGGTGCTACTTCATGGTTATGTAGTTCGTCTTGACATAGTTAAAATAGGGGCGCCCTTGTCTCTCTTGAGCATCTCGCGTTAACGTATAACTGTACCATGGTCGCCACTTCCCCGCTGGTGCGCGGACATTGACATCCTCGGCAAGATGATCATCTGTCAGTGAATAATTTAAGTTTAATGGTTTCCCAGCTTACCCTATATCGTGGTGCCGACCACATGTTCAACTATCCCTGAACTTCTAATGGTTGTGGCATTCTGCTAATAGAATCACTGTTTGGGCTGTATCCTACTCTCTAAGACTGGGATAGTGTCGCAGTCTTCAGCTAGCAGTATTTAGCCATAATTAAGGTGTGGTAGTTTTACTAACAACTGGATCGTCTCATGCTTTCAGGCATTATTATTTGTAGGGAAGCCGGTATTTCCCTTCCATCAGGTATTTTGTGTCGTTCGCAATAAATCAAAAACAGCATGATTCTGTCACTTTCATTCAGTATTGTGCGGTTTACGGCTTTGAAGTCACCGTAAATATATATTGGTACTCTTCTCCCTGTTTTGTGTATCCTATTGATCGGGAACGTGTCATGCCTTTCAAGTGCATTTCATCATCAGAGATGTCGAGTGATAGCCGTGTTTCTATTAGGGCTATTGTAGCGGTAAATAAATCCCCAAAATAAATAGCACTAAGTTTTCGACATTGGATGCTGACCATATGTTTTAGTGGACTCATCTAGCTGAAGGCGCTCGGTCATGCATCCGCACCAACCCAAGCCGGATAAAGAAGGAGGGTTGGGCATGGGGTTAGCGTCTTCATCCCGTAGAAAACTAACTCGCTAAAATAACGCCAACCAGTAAAATTTATTCAAACCATTTAAACTCTGCCCTGGGAGTCAGGTCTTCATTTAGAAGAACTGTGACGCCTCACTGTGGAAGCTGAGTGCCTTCGGAAGTCACGAGGCCGATGCCCCTTCTAACAACCAGAGCAACCATTTATTTAGGTACATGGAATGCTCGTACAATGTGGGAGACCGGGAGTCTTCCAAATTGCTGCAGAAATGAGGAGTTACAATCTAAAGGTGCTTGGGATCAGTGAAACACATTGGACGCAAGTTGGACAACAACGACTAGCTTCAGGGGAGCTTCTGCTATATTCTGGCCATGAAGAAGAAAATGCCCCACATACACAAGGAGCTGCATTAATGCTGTCCAAACAAGCACAAAATACACTTATAGGATGGGAATCTCATGGACCAAGGATCATCAAAGCCTCCTTCAAAACAAAGAAAGAGGGCATTTCAATAGACGTCATCCAATGCTATGCGCCTACCAACGACCACAATGAAGACGTTAAAGATCAATTCTACAATAGGCTGCAGTCAATCATCGAGAAGTGCCCAACAAAAGACCTGACCATTCTGATGGGAGATTTAAATGCCAAGGTTGGAATGGACAACACCGGATATGAAAACATCATGGGACGACACGGACTGGGAGAAAGGAACGAAAATGGTGAGAGATTTGCAAACCCATGTGCCTTCAATAAACTGGTCATAGGCGGAACTATATTCCCACATAAACGCATACACAAAATCACATGGACTTCACCGGATCACACTACGCAAAACCAAATCGACCATATCTGCATCAACAAAAAGTTCAGGAGGACGATGGAAGACGTGAGAACCAAGAGAGGAGCTGATATAACATCAGACCATCACTTGCTGGTCGCCAAGATGAAATTGAAACTCAAGAAGCACTGGACAATGGGGCGGACAATATCACAAACGTTCAATACAGCTTTTCTTCAGGATACTAACAAACTCAACAAATTCAAGATAGTCCTCAGCAACAAGTTCCAGGCCTTTCATGATCTACTCAACGGAGAACGAACTACTATGGAGAGCAACTGGAAGGGAATCAAAGAAGCAATCACTTCAACATGTCATGAGGTTCTGGGCCACAAGAAGCACCATCACAAGGAGTGGATCACTGTTGATACACTGGATAAGATTCAAGAAAGGAGGAACAAGAAGGCAGCAATCAATACCAGCCGAACGAGAGCAGAAAAAGCCAAGGCACAAGCTGAATACACAGAAGTAAAAAAGCAAGTGAAGAGGAGCATCAGAACCGACAAACGTAAATATGTGGAAGATTTAGCAACGACGACGGAAAAGGCTGCAAGAGAAGGAAACATGAGGCAACTGTATGACACGACAAAGAAACTCTCTGGAAATCGCCGCAAACCAGAACGACCAGTGAAAAGCAAGGAAGGCAAGGTAATCACCAACATTGAAGAACAACGAAACAGGTGTGAAGAACACTTCAAAGAACTCTTGCATCGACCAGCCCCACAGAACCCAACCAACATTAAAGCAACACCCACGGACCTCTCAATCAATGTTGGCCCACCAACGATTGAAGAAATCAGCATGGCCACCAGACAAATCAAGAGTGGCAAAGCAGCAGGACAAGACAACATTCCAGCAGAGGCACTGAAAGCAGACGTAGCGGCAACTGCAAGGATACTCCACATTCTCTTCAATAAGATTTGGGATGAGGAACAAGTACCAAAAGACTGGAAAGAAGGACTTCTGATCAAAATACCGAAGAAAGGCGATCTCAGCAACTGTGATAACTACAGGGGCATCACTCTTCTCTTAATACCGGGAAATGTCTCCAACAGGGTATTGTTAAACAGGATGAAGGACTGCGTATACGCCCAACTTCGTTACCAACATGCAGGATTCCGTAAGGATCGGTCGTGTACAGACCAAATCGCAACTCTACGAATCATTGTGGAACAATCAATTGAATGGAATTCATCACTCTACATCAACTTCATTGACTACGAAAAAGCATTTGATAGCGTGGACAGAACAACACTATGGAAGCTTATTCGATACTACGGCGTGCCTCAGAAGATAGTCAATATCATACGGAATTCCTATGATGAATTAAGCTGCAAAATTGTGCATGGAGGACAATTGACAGACTCGTTCGAGGTGAAGACCGGTGTCAGGCAAGGTTGCTTACTCTCACCGTTTCTCTTTCTCCTGGTGATCGACTGGATCATGAAGACGTCAACATCTGAAGAGAAGCACGGGATACAATGGACATCTAGGATGCAGCTGGACGGTCTAGACTTCGCAGATGATCTGGCCCTCCTATCGCAATCGCAACAACAAATGCAGGATAAAACGACCAGTGTAGCAGCAACCTCAGCAGCAGTAAGTCTCAATATACACAAAGGGAAAAGCAAGATTCTCCGATACAACGCAGAATGCACCAATCCAATCACAACTGACGGAGAAGATTCGAAGATGTAAAAACCTTTACATATTTGGGCAGCATCATTGATTAAAATGGTGGGTCTAATGCAGATGTGAAAGTGCGGATCGGTAAAGCAAGAGCAGCATATTTATAACTGAAGAACATCTGGAACTCAAAGCAACTGTCAACCAACACCAAGGTCAGGATTTTCAATACAAATGTCGAGACAGTTCTACTGTATGGGGCGGAAACCTGGAGAACTACGAACACCATCATCCTGAAGATACAGGTGTTTATTAACAGTTGTCTACGCAAAATCCTTCGGATCGGTTAGCCGGACACTATTAGCAACAACCAACTGTGGGAGAGAACAAACCAGATCCCAGCAGAGGAAGAAATTAGGAAGAAGCGCTGAAAGTGGATAGGACACACACTGAGGAAAGCACCCAACTGTGTCACAAGACAAGCCCTCACATGGAATCCTGAAGGTCAAAGGAAAAGAGGAAGACCAAAGAACACATTACGCCGGGAAATGGAGATAGACATGAGAAAAATGAACAAGAATTGGATGGAATTAGAAAAGAAGGCCCAGAACAGAGTGGGTTGGAGAATGCTGGTCGGCGTCCTATGCTCCATTAGGAGTAACAGGCGTAAGTATGTGAGGTCGATCAATAATGCTCTCTAGCTAATTCATAGAGTGAGGACAGTAACCTTTTACTGCCATCAAAAACTGTCCACTTTTGCTATCGGTTTACGGTAATTTCTAATTACGAACTGCTGAAATCCCGTCTAATGCAAACAGGATCTAATAAGAACTCAATATATCGGGTGACCGACATACAACACTGACATATATATATATATATATATATATATATATATATAGCAGGAATAATGGACGTCGGGAGTTAGTGTAAATATTCACAAATGAATTGTGAAAACAGGCAATTATGTAACATTTAAGGTCAGTTCGATGATATGAATTAGCAAAGTGCTATCGCCGTTATTTTCAAACATCAAAGCTATCATTCATTAATAAAAATATAAGATGAAGCTGGTGTTTCTATTAAATATCTATGAATCATGCTCTTATCTTTTCTTATAATTTCAGATATCCTGGGTGTTACAGAAAATGGCATTTTTATTATTTCTAATGAAACATGGGGGGCTTTAAGAGGTTTAGAAACACTTAGTCAATTAATGTGGACTACGAAAGATCAATCTCATGTAAGTATAGTGGTTGAATCCACTTCATTTTATTCTTCATTTTGCTTTCATTATTTACTAATTTTTAAATGACGAGTTTATATTTGTTTCGATTCGTCTAAACAAATTGGAAATCAGCTATACGTAAATAGTATGGACTTATGAAATGACAGTAAAAAAGGGTAAGCTTAAATGATTAATTTAACAATGTTATACATGGCCTCAATGAAATTCTATTATTTGTTTACTGCCGATAGTTGCGACTATAGTTTCACCGTTTACAAACATAGAGTGTGTGTACACAAATCTATTCTGTGCATTATTATTGGCTGGGGATTTTGACCAAAATTGTTTTTAAAAATGTATTGATTAAATTATCAAGTAGTTAAAGAATAGGTATGTATTTTAAAGTCCTTTCTATACATTTTTAAAACGTTTATAATTCTTAGGTAGTTTATTCAGATCTGTATAATTTAGAGCTGGGGTTCAATCAGTCAATCAGCTACAACGTAGGACCAGGCACATATATGCATCGGTCCAAGTTGTCATACCTCATTAGCACAACAAGATGAACACCGAATACATAGAAGTAGTTACTTCAATGGTGGTAATATATAAAAGTAAGATTGCATATAAGGACATAGTACAGGAAGAGAGAATTAGTTCGTAGAAAGAAAGATATGAAGCAATTTTAATCTCTTAGTTTAAGGGAAGACAGAGAGTGTATACACCTACGCCATTGTGATCGATTCTGGATCATGTCACCCAGAGTCTCCAACCATTGGTTACGATAGTCACGCGGACCCCAACCAAGTAGTCTGCATCTACCAACATGGCTCAGACTAGAAGTTAGTGACTTCAAGCACTGATGCCACGTTTTGGTTTGACCGCCACTAACTTTCTTCCAACCATCCCATACACTAGTCAACATTGCGCGTCGTGGTAATCGGTGTTCAGGCATACGTAGCACGTGGTCCAACCATCTCAGTCGATGAAAATGCACAACCTCACCAACTGATTTACCATCCTTCCCTAATACCCTGGGTCTAACCTTGCTATTACTTACCCGGTGATCTCAGCAGACGCCAGAAATATTTCTAAGGCATCTGTGATCAAATACTAGTAGCTTACGAGTATCTTCTACTCTTAATGATCACGTTTCGCAGCCGTAAAGTAGAATAGAACGAATTACTACACAATACACTGGTCCTTTAATTGAAAGATGGATATCTCGCCTTCGCCATAGGTGACGTAAGTTGGTAAAAGCCAAACGAGCTTTTTGAATTCGTGTAGAGATTTTGTCAGACATTAACCCATTAGGGCTGATCAGACTTCCAAGATAAGTGAAGTTGTCAACGCGTTCGACTACTTCACTCCCTATCCTTAGTTTAGGTGTTGACACAGGCAACAACTTGAATTTAGAGGAGGAGAAATGCATTCCAAACATCCTGGTATTGTTGCTCAGTGCTGCTTAAAGATTGCATTCTATCAGCGTCTTCACTAAACATGACTATGTCATCTGCGTATTCCAAGTCGATTAGTTGACCTCCTGGAAGATCAATTCCTGAAAATTTAGTTAACGAGAATGTTATTTCCGTCAGTATGTCTATGAAGAAATTAAACAACAGTAACTACTGAACGATCAAATTTTCATAACCTAGATTCAGGCTTTGCTCACTGTGAATTTTAGATGTAAAATGAAGCAATTCATTGAGAAAAAGTGTATTACTGTTTATACTTAGTTTCTGCACTGGTAACAGGGGTAAATTACAGTAGGAATAAATAACACATTTCTAAAATTTCTGATGTGAAACATCGAACGTTTAGTTTCAACTAAATTGGGAGTGAGACAGAAACTATCGATAACACTAAATAATAGTCTCAAAACATCACTTTATTGATTGTGGGTAGGTTTACCGCTCGATTCCTACTTAGTTGTTTGAAAGCAGCATGCTCACTATGATTACTGAAGATCTTAATTGTGATGCCGTATGTGTTCTGAAATCTGACGAACGGTCAATATTTGAATCGTTGCAGTCTCTAGTTTGCAGTGCTATTCGATCTTTAGTCAGTATTCATTTACGGTCATCCTGCTTTTACCTTCAAATTGTGAAATTTTTTTCTAATTTCCTTTCATTACTATTTCCCTTCCTACAGGTTTTTGTTAATCGAACGTACATTGTCGATTACCCTCGTTTCAAACATCGTGGATTAATGATTGACACTTCTAGGCATTTTATAAGCAAATCTGTTATTTTACTGAACTTGGTAAGCTTGTTTTTATACTTTTATTCAGCATCATCTGCTGTAAACGTAGCTTACTAAATAATATAATATCTATTACAACTATTGGGAACCTAAATTCCGTGTAGCAGTAACTTAATCTGTCATATATCAGGGATTGAAAAAAGACAAAATTCTTTCTTAAACAGGAATTTTATTGTGTACCAAATATATTCGTGCAATATTTGGAATTAATTTGATTGAGGCATGTACAAAATTTTTTGCTACCACAGTGGTGTTAAGGTTGAGCGAGCGCTCATCGGGAGGTTTAAAGGTCTGAACATTGGTGTGCGGGAGGCCGTGAGTGCACACTGATGAGGGTTTCCACAATAGCATGAAACAGTGCTTATTGGTTTTCACTGGATGTTTAATTATAGAATTTGATAATCTTCACAAACTCCAATGTTAAAGAATTACATCAACTGTAGAATTTAATGAATTTTTTTGCAATTTATCAAATGCTACGTGCCTTCCAAATCGAATGAGTTAGTTTACTAGATCTGTATTTTAGAAGTTTAGGTGTCTAATTCTCAATCACTAGTTCGTGTGTTCAAAACCGATATTACCGCTTCAGTTTATACGGTATCGATATCTCTAATCTTCACATTAAAAGTATTCTATTCACTAAGGTTCATGAAAAATTTTAAATCAGCGGGATTGCAAAGATTAAATGAACGTAAGGAAGAGTTTATACTTTGCATTTCAAAAGGTTGAAAATTTTATTGTCTGCTTAAATCGATTGATTTCTGAAAGATTCAGATGTTCACATTTCTAGTTATAATGTCACTGAAATAAATGCTTGACATCAACTGTATTTTTATTTATTGTTTCTTCTGACTGAAACAAAATACAACTTGACAGTATCTTATCTATTCAAAATGTTCATGTAAAGTTTGCTTATTTTTGATTGACTTGTTACACTGAAATAAATTTTGTATTTCCCTAGTCACTTTTTGTTTAATATACTATTAACTTTGACTTTTTACAACTATCCATTTACTCCATAATATGTATTAATCTTTTAAGATAAATATATGTTCGTTTCAAATGTACAATATGTTAATAATATATTGGTTAAGCGAAAGATGCACCATTCTACTGGTATGATATTGTGAATTACTGATAACCGAGAAATATGACATCGGTTACTTTGCCCAAAGATCAAAAAGTATTTTTTTCAATAGTATTATAGAACATTTACCTTCAAGTATAAATTTACATCTGCATCAGAAGGATCTTATGCAGATGTAAAGGCAAGGATTGACAAAGCAGTGGTAACATTCCTACAACTGAAGAGTATATGGAACTCTAAACAACTGTCAGCCAACACCAAAGCTAGAATCTTCAATACTAACATCAAGACAGTTCTATTGTATGAAGCTGAAACTTGGAGAACTACTACAACCATCATCAAAAAGTATAAGTAGTTATAAACAGCTGTATATGCAAGAAACTCAATGTCCGTTGTCCGGATGCCATCAGCAACAGCGTACTGTGGGAGAGAACAAACCAACTTTCAGCTGAAGAGGAACTTTGGAAAAGACACTGGATGTTGATAGTATATACATTACGGAATTCATCAATCTGTGTCACGAGGCAAGCCCTTGGGTGTGGAATCTTGAAGGCAAAAGGAAAAAGGACAGATCAAAAAACACATTGCGTCGGGAATCGGAGGCAAATATCAAGAGAATAAATAGGAATTGGAAACGGTTGGAAAGGAGAGCGAAGGACAGAGTTGGATGGAGAATGCCTGTGGGCGACCTGTGCTCTTCCACAAAGGGTAACAGGCGTAAGTAATATTTTTTTGCATCTCTCGTGGTTGAGCTGTTTTGAATTTGATCAACAGTGGCGACCAAAATTGAACTGTAGGTTTAATTTTAATGAAGTGTCATAATATAATTGTAAATTGATATTTACTAACGTATTTTTTTACCGGTTTTTAATGTATTTTATCCCATTCCTTTTGTAATCCCAATAAAATATAACATGTCCTCCATCTTAAAACATCATAGTTTTATGTTTAGAGAAATGACAGACAATTGCATTAAGAAACTTCATTTTTTACGTCTAATCGATACTGAATACCAAATTGGTGGGAAAATATTTTTTAAATCTACTTATCGAATTCTAATTAGTTTGATTTATGCTTTAATATTTCGCCTTCTAAAGGAAGTAAAAACCATAGGAGTTCACATGAATCAACCTAATCGAAATCTATCTAAAAGATGCTTGTGACTCTAAAAAATTGACCATATGTCTAATCAAATGATTAATCCAAAACAACATTCATGGTGTAAAAGTAACCCTTTCTACTTAGTCTATTTTTCTCTCTCATTGTGTTATGTTTGTAATCAGTGTTAAGATACCAGCCTGATAACTTATTCAATTACATATTTATATTTTGTATACATTTCGTTAATATTTTGATTGTGGATATATTTTCTATCTTCTTTAGGAGGCTATGAGTTATAATAAATTAAATGTTTTACATTGGCATATTGTGGATGATCAGTCATTTCCATATCAAAGTGATGTATATCCTGAACTTTCGGCTAAAGTATGTTTTGTTTGTGAATGATAGGTTTTTTGCAACTAGAGAAATGTATATGCTTTTATATATATAATTAATTATCAAATAGGTAAAATGGGTCTTTTATAACTGTTGGGTAATTTTCATTACTGGGTGCAATTGTGGTGTGTGCCATTTATATGGACAGTAGTAGCAGGAATTTTAAGTAGAATTCTTACCGGCAGAAAAGGAAAATGCAAAGAAAAGAAAAACAGAGCAGTCAATGTGACAACAGAAATGGAAGAACGATGGAGTTTGTAAGAGATAACTCAAAGATATGCGAATAGTGTATTTATTGTATTGTTTACTCATTTTACAAATGCAGTGTGTAATTTTGTATAATATAATTGATTAACCCTTGCACAAGTCTTCGTTCGTTAGACTATCGGATAATGTGTCATTGAAAATTAGGTAGAACTAGATAGATGTTTCATCTATTACGAGACTACTTCGTGATGTTCACTGACCGGTCTCATGCGGGACAAAAATTCTGGACCTTCGTGTCTCACAGAGGGCGAAATACCTTGGACCACGAAATCGACATCCAACCATCTACATTTTCAACTTCAATTATTTCGTAATATAACGCAATTCTTATATAGTATATAACTTTATTCTTGAAAAACATCGTTCCAGTCTCTCCTTACGATCATTCTTCTCCCCTTTTAATCTTGTTTTGTGACTGAGCAACGATTCGCTTTTGAGGAGAATATGTGGCTATCAGTATTTATCCACAATTGATTTCTAAAATATCACTGATAAGGTTTTAAACCTAGTGGGCGAAGTTTGCTCCTCACCCTACTGTTCTTATGTCGAATGAACTGCTGCGTGTATTATCATCTCACAAATCATTGGTTTTCTCAGTCTTACCATGGCCAGTTTTCAAAATTTCAATTGCTTGAATCCTCGTTTTTTTGGTATTGTTAAAAAGTACGTGTCTGTTAGCGTTAATTAGTATTAAATCTCATGATTTGTTTGACTGTTGTCCATTGGTCATTCACCGTAGTTCCTTTTTTCACAGCAGCATACATGTAATTTCTTTAGGCTAAAATATTATCTTTAAATTAAAAAAATCGGTTAGTGAAGTTTATATTTACCGTTTGTTAATTTTAAATAATTGCGCTTTAGCTTCAGTTTTTTCCTTATTCATGTAACTTTTTTTATTGTCCTCATAATTTATTGCTATGTACACGTGTTTGTATATCTGTTTTGGGTATTTCCAGGGTGCTTATCGAGAAGATTTAGTTTATACATCGAATGATATCAAAGAAATTGTGGAGTTTGCCCGATTTCGAGGCATTCGTGTTATTCCCGAATTCGATATACCAGGTATTGTTATTTTTTTAGATACATATGTTATACCACGCATTTTATTATTAACTTATATACTAAGTCTCCATACACTTACTTGAAATAACATGGTTTTCAAAACTTCCTTATTGTTACCACCACCCAGATGCGCTAAATTTACATGTTCTTGTTTTACTTACCTTAAATTTTAGCTTCTGGTGTTCTAAGATGTTGTTATACAGTAATGTTCGCACTTTTTCAATTTTAAACACATAGATAAGTACACATATTTTCAATATCAAGCAACGGAACTTCATTTTCTAGCCTTAATATTTTGAGTTTTTCGAAACACGGCTGATTATTTTTCAGTGTATCTGGTTTTCATTTTTCAGCCTTTTTTGTATTATGATGCATTTTATCAACTCTATGGACACCTACTTTGAAGGCAACGTCATTTAAAACAAAAACGAGCATCATTTTACTTTTCCCGTCAAGTTCGAGTTTATAAATATTTTATTGGTTGTTAAATTCAACCATGACGTACAGATTTGTGTGTTAAATTGTGAAGGTCAATTACCTGTCGGTTAATTTCTCTACATCACTATCCAAAGTTTTTGATGAATTGTATGTGGGGTTTCAACATTCAGTCAGCAAATTTAACCCTTACACAATGTAGCAATAACTTTTGCTTGTCCTTAAAGAGCCTGCTACTCATCAAGTAATGGAGTTAAAGATTCCTTGATTGGTTACATTCACTTTATATTCGTATTATAAAATTACAAGCGATTCGCTGCTGTTGTTATCATCATTTAATTGTGGTTCTTTTATATTTAGTTCTTAATATAGATTAGTAAATCAGTATTTAGACGACCTTCAGGACTTTACCTTTCTCCATGATAAAAAGACTTCTAAACATTCGCTGTCACTGTAGGTTGTTCCTGATGGCATCCGGACAACGGACATTGAGTTTCTTGCATATACAGCTGTTTATAACTACTTATACTTTTTGATGATGGTTGTAGTAGTTCTCCAAGTTTCAGCTTCATACAATAGAACTGTCTTGATGTTAGTATTGAAGATTCTAGCTTTGGTGTTGGCTGACAGTTGTTTAGAGTTCCATATACTCTTCAGTTGTAGGAATGTTACCACTGCTTTGTCAATCCTTGCCTTTACATCTACATCAGATCCTTACTTATCAATTCTGCTAGCCACCTACGTAGAAATTTACATCTCTTCTAAAGCTGTCCCATCAAGTGTTTGTGCTGGTTCTCTCTGTTTTGCATTACAGGATCTTGCCTTTACCCATGTGTGTGTTGAAGCCTAGTGCTGCAGAGGTTAGTGCTACACTGCCTATCTTCACATGAATTTGTTGCTGTGTGTGGGATAAAAGAGCTAGTTTAATATAATTTAGCTTGATTTAATAGATTTGTAAATACTCCCCAAAACTTAATGTTTACATTTTACATAAAATGGGCAGGTAGTGGCAAACAATGTAATCCAATTTATGTATTTGTTCATATAACGGACTCACCATCTCGGGTTTTACCTGCGTCGCAGTGTTGGTGATCTTATGAAAAATCGAAATCAATACCAGTACTGTTTGCTCAAAACGCCATCGTGTTATTCACTTAACTACTGCGTCCAAATAACCAGTGGCTTGTGCAGTGGAGTTGAATTTTAATTCCTGTATATTGGTTATATAATTCTTCGAATTGAACTCTGCCCAACTGTCTATTGAGCTCCACTCCTTATTCTGGTGCTTTTATGGCCCAGCACCTCCTGACATGTTGAAGTTATTGCTTCTTTAATCGCTTTCCAGTTGTTCTCCATATTGTTTTCCTTTTCTTCCATTAGATGTTGTAAGGTCTGAAATTGTTGCTGAGATCTATCCTGAGATTCACGAGTTTGTTAGCATCTCGAATGCAACTTGTTCAACTGTCCAATGGTGCTTCAACCTCAGTTCTGGCTGGACGATTATCAGATTGGGATGTGAAACTCCTCAGATCAGCTCCCCTCTGTACTCTTATGTGTTTGATGGACCTTATGATCTTGCTGTTGATTGAGATGTAATGGATCTGGTCCTCTGTTGTGCGGTACAGTGAAAGCAAGGAAGCTTTATGTATGCCTTTGTGCGGAATTGGTGCCACCTATAACCATGTCGTTGAAAGTACATGGATTTGCAAGTCTCTCACCACTCTGGTTGCTTTCTCCTATTCCATATCGTTTTATGACATCTTCATACCCGTCGCTATCCATACTGACATCCCCGTTTATATCTCTTATGACGATCGTCAGGTGGCTTCGTGGTTACCTTTTACGATCGACTTAAGCTTCTCATAAACTAATTTTCATCACCTTAGCTGTTATATGACATTCAATCCCTGCGTTCTTCGTTTTGAAGGATGGTTTGTTGGTGTTGAATATATGAAATTCCTATCCCATAAGTGGGTTTTATGCTTTTTTGAAAATCATCAATGCAACTCTTTGTTTGTGCGATGCATTTTCTTTATGACCCGATTAGAATAGAGCCTCTCGCTTAGTTAATCTTTTCTGTCCAGCTTACGTACGTGTTTCAATTATTCTGAGCATCGCCAGATTGTATCTTCTTATTTCCAGATCTCCCTGGTCCTGTCGGTCTCTTACATTATGCAAACATTCAAACTGCTTGTCTTAATTTGTACTGTGATTGTTAGAACGGACATCGGGATCGAGATTGCCAAAGAATCTTGGCTTTCATCATGTGATCTCATATGTATTCTAAATGAAAACCTCTCAAGTGTCAAAATGGAGTCTAGGTAGTTAGAATTATTTTCTACGGGATGGAGCTGGTAACTTCATCCGCAAACATTCTCCTCTGTCAAGGGTTTGGACAGGTCGTAACCGTAGAAGTGTGCAGGTGGAGTTACATCTGACACTTCTGTTTGAAAAAAAGATGAAATCACTCAAGGGAACTGTTATTTCCAATGAGAAAGTGCGTCAAGTTTGTTGTTCTGTACTATGCGATCATGGTAACATTAAGAATTGAAGTAGATAAGCAGAGCGCTGGTTTCCTAAATACTTTTTAATCACATGGACAAACAAATACACATTTTCACTTTGAATATACTAATAAAAGAATTTGATTAATTCAGTGTATGCAGAGTTAATCGATTTACGTTTTGTAGTTTTTTAATGAGTTGTTTGATTATCAAATGAGTAAACCATTGATTTTTGAATAAATCTTTATTACCTCCTCCCTTGTTTGCAATTCTAATCAATTAATTCTCTGCAAAATCACATAGGTAAGTAATAAGTGTGTTTCCGCTAGTAACGGGCTTTAAGATGAATTTTTCAGTATTACAGTAAAAGGTCCTGACTACTATATTGTATGATGTTGAATGCGAGGTATTAATTCACCAATATCAGTGATTAAAGTTAACCCAATGTCATCGCTTCATCAAAATTTAAAATGTAATTAGTTTAAATTTGTCAGGTAGTTTGCAATTATGACGCCATGTGTAGTCCGAGTATCTTAGTTTTCATCATTACTTGGCTTGTGTTTATTCATTATTGAGTATTAATGGCAAATTAGGTCGACTTGAAAATTTCGCACTACATCTTGTATCATCTCATGATAAAAATTATTTGTATTATTGCTACGAGTTTATGCATTGCGTCAAACAATCTAGGTCATATGCAGACAATCTGCTCATGATCTGCACAAATGCTTATAAAAATTTATCAGTTCCTGCTTTTTGTATCTGTTGTGACTTTAGGCCCGGTTAGTTATGACGTGTTTTATTCGCTAATCGAATTGCGACCCATAAAATCTTAGTACTGTGCTAAATAAATGACGTTCTATCGGTATGAGCAGCCTAGTGTCCTTATTGGTTCTATGTTCGCCTAGCCCGTCCAGTTGGGTCCATAACGCCAATAACAGCCTCAACTATGCGGACAATTTATTTGAACATGATTGGTTTATATACCAGCCAAACAGACCGCATCATACCATAAAATAGGAAATAACATTTATATAAGATCAAGCCAAGTAGTGGCTATGGACGTGGGAGACTGTAATCAATAAACTGAACATAATTTAAAAAATAAATTGTTCAAAAATAGATCAAAATAAAGCTTATAATAAGAGGAATATAGATATACATAATCTAGTTACTGAATAGTTATACAATAAGAATATTTTACTTACCTACTTACTTACGCCTGTTACTCCTAATGGAGCATAGGCCGCAGACCAGCATTCTCCAACCCACTCTGTCCTGGGCCTTCTTTTCTAGTTCCATCCAAACCTTGTTCATTTTTCTTATATCTATCTCCATTTCCTGGCGTAATGTGTTCTTTGGTCTTCCTCTTTTCCTTTGACCTTCAGGATTCCATGTGAGGGCTTGTCTTGTGACGCACAATAAGAATATATATATAATATTAGTGCATTAATAATTCTTAGAAGTTACCCGTAATTTAATCTTCACTAAGCTATAACAGTATCAACAGCGGGAAAACTGAAAGCCTCGGATTTATAATTTGGGTGTTCGTTTTCCTTATTTGTGATATTGGCGCATCACTTTACGAGAATATCTCCAGCTAGATTTTAATAAGTTTCCAATCAGTTTAGTCTTTTCTTTTTTGAAAAGCTTATTTTCATTTGATAGTCTGCAAGATGTATCTGTGAAAATAACTGCAATGAATATTGAAAAACGTACCATAATTAGATCTCTTGTTCTTTTTTGTGAACTGTTAGTTGACTTATCCTCTAAAACAGTTTTTATCTCAACTTGTTCTAATATTTGGTGTTCAAATTAAATATATTTAATTCGATGATTTTTGAAAATATCATTAACTTAATGTGTTAAACTTTTGTGAATCAACTAACTTCTATCTCTTTCAGTATAATGTACATAATTCGGTCAGTACAACTGTTTGAATGTCATATTAGATGTTATTTGTTATAAATGAAGTTAATTTACATGACTTTTCACTCATCAGAATTTATTAGTTAATAGTTTTGTTTTCTTGTTTTGCTTCTGTAAACTCCCGTAGGTCATACTCGAAGTTTGTCACTTTCTCATCCAGAAATTATGTCACAATGTCAATATGATTATAAAAATCTTGCATATTACGGGCCACTTAATCCAGCTTCAAATAAAACATACGAGCTTTTAGAAAATTTATTTAACGAAGTTTTTCAATTATTTTTAGATGATTATATTCATCTGGGCGGTGATGAAGTAGAAACAATATGTTGGTTAGTTGTTAAATACTCTTTAGTTTTTTCGATTATTTTCTTCTAAAACAACGTTTCTGTCAGAAAAACATATACCTTCTATAGAACAGATTTTTATCCATAAGTAATCAATTGTTAGATAGTTGGAGGTAATCGAAAGGAAACCCTGGACCCCTATGTTTTTGCTACTTGGTACTCGTTGACAAGATGTACCTATAATCTTGAGGGAATTGATAAACCCTATAAGGATTCAAACCCGCTTCAAAGTCCTAGCTATTTCCTCAAGATTACTATTTCTAGGACAGAGCGTTTGTGAAAATCAAGAAACAGAGCAGTTTATGGGGTAACTGCAATCTTCGAAGAAAAGTACTGATTGCTATTTTTATATTTTCGTGTTTAACTTTCCACACTATGGGTTACTTTCAATGTGTATTTATTCAATTGAACTTGCTGTTATATTGATAAAACCTTGAAACAAAAGTTAATTTGAATGATTAGCTAAGTTGCCATCATTCTCATGTACACATACAAATTGTTAAATCCAATCGATGAGATATCGTTATATCGAAATAGTCAAGTTTATCTGCAAACATTACGGATCGGGATCACAATCAGAGATATTACTAATTTACTCTTCTAATTGTGGTTAGCCTTTTGTAGGACTAAGGTGTTTATAATAATCGTTCATTAAGTATTAGGCAATGTTATGTTGTTTTTTAAAACTAAATACTCTAATATCTTCACATGGCTGGTTATTTAAATACTAGTCTTTTACTTTTTACTGTTGTTAGTATATACTGAAGTATTTAGCAAAAAATATTAAGAATCCTCTGCCTTTCTCATTTCTCACACATACATTTTTAAGTTTTCTTTTTTTGTTACTCAACACTGAAATCAGTCAGTTTGGGATACGCAATGTAGGACCTGTCACATATGTGGATCGGTTCAAATTGCCACACCATATCAACACAGCAAGACGAGATTATCTAGACCAGTCCCAGAGTAGTAGCTACATCAGTGGTGGTCGAGAAGCATAGCGGTAGACAATATGATATGAGGATGAAGAAGGAATTTGTAGGTTAGAAAGGTATGGGATAATTTTAAAGCTAAGATTCATAGAAAGGCAAAGAGTAAATGCATTTGTACCGATTCTGAGGCATGTTAATTATCGTATCCAATCATTCTTCGTAATAACCGTCTGCGCTCTGACTAAGTAGTTTGGATATGCCAACACAACCCAATCTAAAGACTTGATACGCTAATCGATATCACGTACTAAGGTCACCAATCAGGATTCTGAATAAAGTTCTTTCTATCCCCCGTCTACTATTACCTTTAAAGTCTGGTATCCTAGACTTGATCGGAACTTCAACTGACTCAAGCCAAGCTCCTACTGGTTCGCTATCAGCAAGCTATTCTCTGTTCCTTACCTTGAGTCCGAATAGAAGTTAGTAGCCATCTTCTACTGTATATTATATTTCATACACAAGTGGATTGTATACACATATCTTGGACTACATCTCATTATAAGCTGAAAAAGTCACTATTGTACATCAACAAACCAAAAATGGATGTGAAAAAGACAAGATGTAAATAATTGACTGTGAATAAGTTGTAAATAAAAAACTGCGTAATAATAATCGATCGGTTAAATGAAAGCTTACGATAAATGGAATACATGAACATAGTAATCCACTTTATAAGAGCTTTCATCTAAATTTAAACAAATCGTTTCACAGTAGTTGGGAGCCAAACTAATGTAATTCATTAAAGAGGAAAAATTATATTTGTAAAATCTCAGTGATTGAACTTTGAGTAAGTCCAACGTTTCTCTCGGAAATCATGGCATAGTTTTTTTCAAGCATCGAAATTATCGAATATAAATAAGTACATGGTACCAAACGGGTTATCTGATCATCCGAACAATGTTGAAATATATTGTATTTTACTCCATATAATCTAGCTCTTGTTATTTGAACAACAACGATTACTTTCAACTTTCCTAATCAGTTTGTTTACCTAAATAGTGATAAACAATTAATTTGCTCAACACAATAACAAAAATACTATTTTTTTGTTTATTTATATTCATTTAATACATACTGTCACTCGACTCATATCATCTATAAAGTTGTCTGTTCCCGTGAAAAAAATCACCGGTCAGAGGCGATACATAATCAGTGGAATTTCTTCTCTTACCTCAGATCCACTTACTTATACATACAACTATTATCTTAACAAACTTTTCTTTACACACCAGATGTCTCATATGCATTACAGCGAATTGTCACTTTCACTTTTGTTAACGTCATTGGGTGACCTGTTTGATATACAGTTAACCGGAAAACCATGTACTTATTTATGCTCGATAATTTAGATGTTTGATTATGTTCACTAAAAAGGCTTTGCCAAGATTTTCGAGAGAACGTTGGACTTTTTCAGAGTTCAGTCGCCTGAGATCTTACAAATATAACTTTTCCTCCTTAGTAGTAGCTACCATTTCTTCAGTCTTCGTCCTGATACGTCCATATTGACAGTTAGTGATATCATAAACTGATTTGAGGTCTTGGCTTGGTCACTCCTAGGTTTATTTTAACCTGCCTGAAGTTTAAAGAGGAAGAATGTATTTGTAAAATGTCAGCGAAAGAATTTGGAGTAAATCCAACGTTTCGCCTGGAAATCTGGTCCAAGCTTTTTCAGGGAAAGTTTGTGTGGGTGATGGCTAGGTATTTTTCACATATGTCTGAACTAACTTGGTCAGCAAAGTTCATATCGTCGTCAACTGGTTAGAGTTTCTAATTAGTATCCAATTATTACTTCAGCATTATTCATTCTACGATTCTATTATGCACTCAATCTTCCTAGATAGAGACATGGAGATCTTGCGAAATATTTTATCAGTATCGAAATATTGGCATTTGCGATCGACTGAGGTAATTTGACTTACACCCTGACAGAATGGACGTGTCCACTCAGCAATATAAGTATAATATATAATTACTAGTAACATGGTTTTTTCGCAACTTACATAGGAACAAATGATACAAAAACTCAGCAGAAAACAAGTACTTTGCACAACAACAAAAACCAGTTTTACAACTAAATGATTCTGCGGCGGATTTTGATTTTTAAAGATCATATATATAGCACCTCTTCTACAATTACGTTTGTTTACGGTTGCTTTTGTCAAGCCCTTCAATTATCTTATTTGTCAGATAGTGTTATTTGAGTGGTAACAATTCGTTTGTCTTATTATTATTACTATCATATGTCTGTATGAATATTTATGCTTGGTCACATGTGACAGCGTACGCGGACATCCCTCAGTCTACCTTAAATGTTAGTTGCTTGAATGTCTCGTGATGTATCACTAGCTTTCCCATTTATATGTGTGTGTGGATCTTATAGATTGATTCAAATATAATTTTCACATATTATTGTCTTTGTATTTTTATCCACACATCTCTGTATTATTATTATTATTATTTCAACACCACCACTAATCTTCTGAACACATGAATAATTTGGTTACTCCTCACTCTACTCTATTATTTCCTACCGAACTCACTTAACTTTTTAACGCTGCATGGTAGTCATTTCAACATTAATAGTTTTATTTTATTCTACAACAAACAGTCTTAAATCCACATGTTATAATTTTAAACAATGTATTTGTCTTAAACCTGGTCACTTTTTAGACTAATGATTTGAATATACAACATTAGAATCTGAAGAGAATCCGTTGAAACGAATATTCTTCGTTCATATATAAGTGTTTTAGATCACATTAATTTAGTTTCTCAATTTCATAGATTTTTTGCTATACATATTTATATCTTTCTTAAAAGGGAGCGTGATCCTGAAATTCTACAGGGCGTTGAAAATCATGATCAATCCAATTCAATATTTTGGATTAACTACTTTTGGAGATGGTAATTTGCTGACATTATTTCCAATGATAACGCTTTTTTCTTAAGTTATTTAAAAACATAGTAAGGTGGCGGATTATCAGTTTTTAGATGATATTTACCTTGATTTCCATCTGTCTTTGTGTTCTCTAGTTTTCGTAAAATAAACTGGAGAAATCTCTTGAGTTTTTGTGTATCCTATTTCGAAATATCTCGATTATTTGGTTTTTATCCATGGGATTACTTCCCGATGTAGCATTGTGCTCTTCATTTGGTGTGCATAATTTTATATATTTTTATTAAAATGATAATTTTTTGTTTCGTGGACTTGAATGAGTAGTTACTCTCCCTAAAATTGGTCAGTATATATTCTTCTACATTTATCGTATTAAAGTACCCGAGGTCGATCAAAGTTTTATTTTTTCAGAATATGTATATTTCTACAGTAAATAGTAATTGTAATGACAATTTGCACTTGGACATTTGGTAAAGCGATACATATATAACAATAAAATAATACTAATCAAACACTAGTGTAACATAATAGTTACCCGATTTCACAGTAATTTCAAATTAATATCAAATGATTGAGTAATTGGAAGAAAAAGGATCATAATAACCAAAGTAATTGATTGTAGGAAATGACAGGACTTCAATTATGATTACCAGGTTACATAATATTTAGAAAGAGCATTAGCAAAATATTTCGATAAAAAGTCAATATTTTAGTAACTATGTTAGAATTAAAAGACGAATATTGTAAATATATAGGATCATAAATGTCAAAGAACTAAGAAAATTGTTTGAATATTTTTCGAAAGAATGAGGTATTGCCATGATGGAAACTAATGGAGAAAGTTTTTAGCTCTATTTGCCGTTTTATTAAATAATAATTTGTTTAGCTTACAACCTTACGTTCGGTGTACTGGAACTAACAAGAATATTCAACGTTTAATCTCGACAACGATAATAGAGATCAATTTAATATGACTTGGTGAATTTATTAAAAACCATCTTCATTGTTAAATTTGTTTGATTTTCTTATGAACGGATTGGGGAATTAACAGATTTGGTTGTCGTTATCTATCTATATTCCGGAAAGAATTTAATTCATTTCATGTTAATTTAAATTTAAATATGAGCTATACTGATCATAAAACCTCTTATTTATTTAATTTTTGTTGGTAAAATATTATTTCATTCACCAATAAATATTTGTTTATTCACCAATTTATCGATGCTTTTCATGTGAGAATACATAAATTTAATCGGGATTTTTATGTTTGTGTATTTAATTCCCTTAATTTTTGTCTTTCTATAGTGTACAAAATCTAGTTACCCAGATAGGCAAGAAAAATCCTCAGTCGAAACGAAATTTAATTCTGTGGGAAGATGTCGTAGAACATGTAACCGATGTAAGGAAAAATTACTTTCAAAATTCCACTTTTTAAGAAGAGATTGGTGACTGCTCGCAGTGGGATTCAGGATGCTTATATTGTCCAATGTGGGACTCGTCAGCTGAGGTTATAACTGCATCACAGTGTTGATGCTCTGATGAAGACTTGAAATCAGTGCTGTTCACCCCAAACGCCATCGTGTTATTTACTTAGCTACTGCTTCCAAATAATTAGTGGCTTGTGCAATGGAGTTGAATTTTAATTCCTATATATATATTCATAAACTCTTCAACAATGACTTCCACACAATTTCTTATGATTATCACCTTACACTCCCATGTGGTTTGTTTATATTTCAATAGGGACTACTTAAGTGGACAGAGATTATGTAATGAAATAATCGTAATTATTTTGCATACGGTTTCATCATGAATTAGCACCTTTATGTTCACCCTGATAGCCATTTCCTATACTTCACACAACGACTCAATGCTTCACGACAGCAAATAACTTACAAATGCAATAAGACCTGTTTCAACTAGTTCTATGTATTCGGTATTTCACCATCATTTAAAGCATAACCTTGAGTCACTGAAATATTTTTCCCATTTTATTGCAGAATTCCTATGTATTCATTTTTTTTTTATTATGTGCGCTGAATTTTTTCCCAGCTTAAAAAATCGATGTTTGTTCAAGTCTGGAAAAGTCATCCATTCTCTCATTTATCTAAAGGTTTTAATATTATCTATTCAAGTTGTTGGTATTTGGATTTACTTAATGATATTAAGCGTTGGACAGATTTTTATCTGTGCGATCCATCCAACGGTAAGTCGATCATTTTCTAATTAATGCATACCTTAAACGATGATATATAACAAGTTGACATGGAGTTTTCAATAATAGGAAATTATTGCCTAGTAAGTCTCACGAGTGCGAAGTTAGAATCAATCAGTTATGGCTAACACAAAGCCCAGTAGGAATTTGTGTTTATTCATGCTATCATACTACATCAGGACAACGAAATGACATTAATCAGATAAGTAGCAATGGAGTTGAAATAATTTAGTTATAGTGATCATGAAAAGCATCATTGAAAATATAATTCCCATAGGTTACTGGTTGTAATTTAACAGGGTGTTAAGGTTTTATTTTTTGGTTTCGCTTATCACTGCCTGTAAAAGGAATTAGGAATGATTTGCTGCTATTATCATTATTATTAATATCGAATATCCACTTACATTTTTGTTGTTGTTGTGGCGGTTGTATTTTTTCGTAAAGATGCTCCACTGGAAACTGAACGACAAATTCTAGGTGGTGAAGCTTGCATGTGGAGTGAATACCAATCGGATTATACAGTTCTAACAAAAATTTGGTAACTAAACTTATTACGTTAATCATATTGAAATACTTTTTCAAAGTCGTTTTCTTTGTTTAATTAACTATAACGTACTCATTACCTCCATTTTCTTTTTTTGCTAGTAATTCCTAGAATTTAATGAATAATTTACTTATTGAATGAGTAGCTTTCTACTTATCCGTTGTTCGATAATTCCAGCTGTTTGTTATCGAATCTATCCTTAACGAATGACCACATATATATTTTCTCGTCGTAACAATTCTATGGTAGTGTATATTTTTTATTTTCCGAAACACGACTATCCTTCAAAATACATGCATGAATACGTCATAAGTAAATTTTATTCTTAAATTACCACAAAATGCATGCCAATCTAAAGGCATTATCTGATTAATACAGAAATCATTGTTAAGCCTAAAGTAAAAATAAAAATTGGTTAGGCGAAGAGTTCTCTTTTCGGCGAATTCATTTTCAAAGCTGCAAATAATACTCTTCGCTGAACCAGTTTTTTTTCAATTTTATGTCTCAAAGGGTATATTCCCTTTATATATAAAAAAATAAATAGATTAGGTCAAATTGTTTGAAAATATCCGTTTCATAAATTGCTTTAAGAGAACGTTCGACACAAGCATTATGATAATATGAGGGGATAGTTGGGAACCATTAATTCTCGATAGGACAAGAACATCTTGTTGATGTGGTATATATATATATATATATATATATATAAGCATGCCAAATAACATGTGTCTGTCAAGAAATATTTCAAATATGTAGAAACAATTGACGTAAAATCCACTGGTTCCACACTGTTTGGAAAGAAAAAAAAATGACCCTCCTGCTTTTCGTTGAGTTCGCGCATAATTAAGATAGTTTTTTGGACAATAGATACTGATAAATTTGTTGAGATTCTTTGATAATTGCTAGTTTTGAATATTTATTCTTGACAGGCCGGTTACAAGTGCTGTTGCAGAACGTCTTTGGAGTGCTAAAGAAATAAATGACTTAGAATTTGCCGGTCCGCGCATTGAAGAACAACGATGTCGTTTAATCAAGTAGGATTTTATTTTACAATTCTCAATCTGCTTATTATTATTTTCATGTTATTTGTATTTACTTTTTATTTATGATTAAATCTTATGAAATTAATGCTTAACCAAGTGATTAAACAGACACATTAAATATATGCTTCCCGAATATAAGATGCTTTAATTACTGTTTTGACTGGTTAGTAAACAGTTCATCCAGCAAGTACATTCGACTGTCACATAAATACCAATAAATTGTGTGAATGAACTAAAGAAAAAATCGATCACAGGTTAACGAAATTGGTTAGTCTAACTGTATATTTAACTAGTGATTCGGAAATATTAATAATCAGATGCTTATAATTTAAAAGTAAATATAATCACATTTTCCTGTCAAGATTGTCTTCATCAAATTTTATTTCCGTTTAACTATTTTACATACATACGCCACACAATAATAATGAGGCCAGTAGTAGCTATCATTGATTTGTGTGAGGGCTGTGTTACTGCCCAGGTGCCCAAATCGAAGCAGGTAATTTTCTTGGGTTGCCACACCCCGAGCCTTTGACCTGAAGGCCTGATCTACAAGGCAGTGGAGCAACGCCAGGAGATGCAGTCCCATGGTAGCCGGTGACCAACGATTGGTTCATATACCATTTGTTCCTACAGGATAGTGGAGGCCATATGCACCATTGGTTTGGAATCAAGGTTTTACATCTCCTCTATAATTGATGGACGAACCAATCAGGTATAAGATAACAGGTCTCGGATTTTTGCGCGAAATTCACTTATCCACTTGGCATCATAGCTGATGTCAGTTCGTGATGAAAACCCTAAATCTAATTCCTAACCTTAACCATCAACTGAAAATCATAATTCTAATCCCCCGCAATGTTTCATAACCCTCATTTGGTCCTTGTTACTAGGTGGACACCCTCAAGGTCACTTCAGCGTCGCTCAAAAGCCGTTCATAAATTATAGTCTCACTGCGCCGGACATTTGCTTTTCGTTCTTTTAACTTCGTAAACAACACTCCCACCACGAGAAGGCAGAGATTAGGACTACTCAGGCAGTGGCTATGTACACGTGGTCATGTGACAGCATTTCGAGAGGGATAGGAAAACCCGCCACCCTCGGGGCACCTATTTTACACAAACGTTCGGTGTGTAAAAATGTTTTTTACGCCACTGTCTACACAGAATAAATCAATCTCCCTCTATAATTTTTTACAAACAGGTACTGTCTTTATTATATAACTCGCCTATGGACTTGTAATCATCAACCTTAGTTACCGCTTTTTGATTTTAAAATTTACTATTCCATCAGAATTACTATATAATTGCTAATGAAGCGTAGAATAGTTGGCATTTTAATTGGAACACCGTCCAGATTACATGTTACCCCATATATATATATATATATAGTAGTTCGTTTAAACGGAACTGTTACACATTTCAAATAGGCTGTAATAAACAATTGCAACAATTATAGTTGGTTATTATTTAACTCGAAATACAATAATTGGTAAATGTATGACATCATGTAATAAAAATAAAATTCAAACTGAGAACCTTTTTTGTTTAAATATAACATTATAACATCGTGAGTAATAATAATATTAATTTGATTGCTTATGATAATTAGGAACGATTTGAATGATTACTATTCTCTTTCTTCTCTCTTCTTCTCAGTCGTGGTATACCAGCTGGTGTTCTTCTTGGTCCAGGATATTGTGATAGTACTAAACAAATGACAACATGGAATATCGATGAAATTATATTAGATGAACATAAAAATATTAAAAATATCATGAAGCGAATGGAACCAAATAATAATAATCATGACATTTATCAAAATAAAAATAATGATTATAGACCTATTAATTTATGGAGTGATAAAGATTTGTTCATTGGTATTTTCATCGGCATTTTAATTACATCATTATTTCGCCATTGTAATTTTTTAACATTTCGAAAGGCTAAGTGTAATTTATCTGTTATACGTACAGTATGTTTATGTATTTTGATTTTTGTAATATTAATAATTTTCTTTAATCATATGTATTCTGTATTTGTATAGAATTTAAGTGGAAATCATTAGTTTGTCTCTACTACTACTAACATACATTATTGCATAATTTTCGTGGAACCCCCATTATATTGCTTATTAGCAATTAGTATTGAAAAATTAGTTATTTCACTCTGCACTTTTTATACTCTTATCCTATTTAGTGTATATATATGTTGTGTTGTTGCAATTTGACTTGATGATTCTAATGTTCTCTTTCGTACTCTTTGTCTCTCTGTACGGAATACCTATTTACTTTTGCTAAGCGTTAAGTGTTTTTAAGACGCTTCCCAAGACGTATATCTACCTGTCTATCCAAATAATTATGTAGTTGTTTGTAATCATGTTTTATTTGTGTATGTATGTATTTCATTTATTCTTTCCTCCTTGTCTTATACCACATTACTTTAATTCATCCTATTCATTACTGTTGTATCTTACGTAAGAAGAAACTTGTACTGTCTTTAATAATCGTGAGAAGACATGAATCTCTTTGTCATTGTCTTTCCTATTACATATTACACATAAATCTCAGTGACTGAAGAAGAAGCAGGAAAACTAATTCACAGTGCAGTCAGTAATATACTATTCTTATATTATTTTATTCCTATTAAAGTTGTTATTGTATTGTCTTGTTAGTATTATTGCTTACGTTTTTTACCTTGCATGCTTTTTTATGTCAGTTTGTTTCTTCTTAAACAAGGAACAAAACCATTTGTCCTTGTGTATTACACTAACAAATGGTGCTCTGTTATATTCATAAATGATGCATACTTATTTATTCATTCGTTTGTTGACCTTCTTTAACTTGTATGTGCTCAGCGTTCTTCATGTTTTAGACTTATGCTTTATTTCTTAAATTTCCCAAATATGATTGATATTAAATTTTCAGTGGATGTTTGTTCATTGAAAGGAAACTTTCAGTCTGTTTTTTTAAACCGAAAACATGATTTCTACATATATGTGAAGTAAAATATACGTAGATTTTTCGAATTCACTGATTTTAACATAGTAGTCAAATGGAATATAATTTTTATGACCAAGGGATGTTTATTAAGCATATCATTGGGATTGTGTTTACATGGAAAGTGTTATAGCCCAAAGCCGCCAATCAGAATCGGCGAATTATCGATCGGACCAAGGACGCGTAAAACATGTGCGAGCAGCCTAGAGTCCTGATTGGTCCTGCTTTCCGCCTAGCTCAGCCAGTTAAGTCCAGAACACTAGTCTTAGCCTCTGCAATATGAATATGAATAGTTTATTTACTTAACAATTAGACGATAAAAATATCCGTTTAGTATTGGTCCATAAAGTGCTCCCAAAATTACCATTCATTATGTTTATCGGGACCTAACAAAAAGATTAGAAGTATGGTTTTATGTACATTGATGACCATTATAATTCCGTATATTCTATATACCAAGTTGAAGACAAATACTTATTTTACATTCAAAATCACTACATTAATAGAAATGAGCCGATCTTGTAGAACTCTTACACTGAGTCATTAGGTAGTGTCTACGGTTTGTTATTAACAAAATCACCGATAAAAAGCAGTCCCAAATCGTCGGGAAAGTTCATTCAACTATAAAATTCCATACAGTTGACAAACAAATCCATAAACATACTCGCTTAAAACAGGCAGACTATCCTGGATGACACAATTTCTAAAATTTGTCGTAACCAATTTTTCGGTTGTGAAAACTTGAATTCTTTTGAGATCACGGATCCATCTAACTTGGGTAACCATTGGAAACTTGGTAGCACTGGACAGTTGCTTCGTCCTAGTACAGGACTCTTGATCAGTTGTATCCAAGACCTTGCCACCTGGTACTAAATTCAGGATCTTCGCTCTCCCGCACGAATACCTAACCTCTGAACCACTAACCCAATGGTGTACATGTTTAGCTCCGACCAGTCTGCGATATTACACACTATCTTGTTTTAATATCAGTTGTTACTTTCCTCACACTCGATGCAGCCGAAACTCCATCAGTCACGCCTTCACATTAGAGGCTCAGAAATTACATATTGAAGCTAGTCACTAGTAAATGCGTTATGATAACGAATATGAGAGATGAGTGTTTCAAGGTCACAAAGTGAACTCACACTTTAAATCTGCCATTTGTATGACTTAACTTTCCTGACCCCGGTATATTTTGCCATATCTGTTAGTGGAACATAACCAATGCTCTCGTTTCTACGCTGCATTAATGACTAACCCTCCGGGCACTACCTTTGTACATATACCGTATTCATAGTAAAATAACATGGACATTTAATTTTTGAATACTTTCATAACTTAGTATGCTTACTGAAAATCCTTTTGCGTTAATATTTTTAACTTTACTCTATTTTTGCTCTCGATGTTGCATTCATTTTTCCTATTCAGTAGTTGATTGGTTTAAATAAATTGTCTTCAATAACCTCACAAAGTGATAAAGCATATATGTGACAGTAGACCTATCACAGTAGTTTTCTAGTGTTTTCAGTTTTCTTTATTTTCTCTACTTTAAGATACCTGTAACGACCTTTTACCACCGTCTTAGTAATTCAGCATAACATCCCAGTACTCCTGCTAAGAAAACACTTGCTACCAACTACTGTTTGGCGTTATTGAAATCTCCGTGATCAACTTTTTATCGAAGCAATTTATGAAACACATTTTGAATAATTTGTATTTATATTTATTCTACATGTTACGTCCCTTATTTTATCAACTCGATCATGTCTGTAAACTATAGTACCTTTTGTGATACTTTTCGAGATATTATTCGATTTAAGCATATACTGTAGAACTTATCAGTCAGCTACAACGTAGGACCAGGCACATATATGCACCGGTCCAAGTTGCCATACCGCATTAGCACAGCAAGATGAACACCGGATTCATAAAAGTAGTTAATTCAGAGGTGGTAATATATAAAAGAAAGATTGCTTATAAGGATATAGTACAAGAAGAAGGAATCCAGGTACCTTCAGAAGAACTTTTCCACGGTGAGGGCAACCGGGAAGTGATAACCGCCCTCATACCTTTAACAGCGCTCAAGACCACTGTAAAACTTATGACATTCAACAGTTAATTGTCGTAGAGTGGAAAAACGGTAGGGATTTATTCCATACCACTGAGGAAATCACAACTAAATAAGATCAAGAAATGGCATATCAAGGTGCTCGTCATTATGATTTGAATTTAAAATTTTTATGAATTTGGTTATACAGTCACTGAAAACCACTAAGCGTAGAACAATTGTTCAAGCTTATATAAAACTGTTAGGTAGTGTCATTCATTACCTCTCCAAGGATTGGACCTAAAGTCAGGAAAGCATAACTTCTAACCACTGGGTTGGCATGCAATAGTTCACATTGGTAACTTGAATTAATTTCCGATATTTCAAGATTATTATCGATTACCATTGGCAATTAGACTTTGTTTAATGTAGTATCGTAATTCTTGCGAGCTATTTTATTAACAATTTTTTAACGTTTAACCACACAATATTCTTTTAGACAAGCTCAACGATACATTTTATTTGTACGCAGAAGTTTGACAAGTTTTACTTCTCCAGGTCTCTATAACTGAGAAATATATTATAAAATAAACTAATATGGATTGGAAGGATCTGTTAAGTGTTCACTTGTAAAATAAGTGAGGTTGGACAATACAAATTAATCTTAGTTCAATAAACTGGGCTATTTGACAACTTTATCACTGGATAGGTTCATACATCAGTTGGATTGATAATACTGGAAAGACTAAAGATTTTACGTTTTAGAAAGCATAATTATCTCGTTTGGATCCAGTCTGATCTTTAGTAACCGGTAAGAAATCGACTTCAAATTTTGTGCAACTTTTCGTAAAAATGGAACATTTTAAGCCAAATACTAATTTTTCATTTCCAGCCAAAATTTGTTCCTTTTTATTTGCCTTATATCCTTGTCCAGTTATATATAACGAATGTAAAATATAAAATCCCATTCAGTTTTGTCTAACAGTAAAGTTAAAAGGGCAGTTTCATCTCTATTAAGGATTTTATACCAAGTGCATTGGTGGATTTCCTAAAGAATAAACTCTACTCTCATAGCTCCAATCAAAACAACGTTATCCACCTTATTTAATATTCTAGTGGATAGTTTTATTCCAGCCAACAGTATTTACTTACGTCTGTTACTCCTTGTGGAATAGCATAGGCTGCCCACCAGCATTCTCCGTCCAACCCTGTCCTGGGCAATCCTTTTCATTACTGCTTCCAATTTCCGACGCAGTATGTTCTTCGGTCTTCCTCTTTTTCGTTTCCCTTTAGGATTCAAAGTTAGCGCTTGCTTCGTGATGCAGTTTGATGGTTTCCGTAATATATGTCCTATCCACTTCCAAAGCCTTTCCCTGATTTCAGCTGGAAGCTGGTTTGTTCTCTACCACAGTACCTTGTTCCTAATGGTGTCCGGCCAGCGGATATTGAGTATCTTACGTAGACAACTATTTATAAATACTTGTACATTCTTATTGATGGTTGTAGTGGTTCTCCAAGTTCCAGCCCCGTACAACAGGATTGTCTGGACGCTCGTATTAAAGATCCTGATTTTGATATTGGTTGACAATTGTTTTGAGCTCCATATGTTTTTTTCCAACTGTAGGAATGCGGTACTTTCATTGCCAATATTTGCCTTTACGTCTGCATCCGATCCTTTGTGCATCGATGATGCTTCCCAGGTACGTGAAAGATTCCACTTCTTCTACAGCTTCTCCATCAAGTGTGATTGGGTTGGTGTTCTCCATGTTGTATTTGAGGATTTTGCTCTTTTTTGTGTATGTTAAGACCCAATGATGCAGATGCTGCTGCTACTCCAGTTGTCTTCATTTGCATTTGTTCGTGTGTATGTGATAGAAGGGCCAGATCATCTGCGAAGTCCAAATCTTCTAATTGATTCCGAGATGTCCATTGTATTTTATTCTTTCCCTCAGGTGTCTAGGTATTCATGATCCAGTCGACCACCAGAAGATAGAGGAAATGGTTGAGTAGGCAGCCTTGTCTGACTCCGGTCCTTACATGGAATGCATCTTTCAACACTCCTCCACGAACCACTTTGCAGTGTAGCACGTCGTATGAATTCCGGATGATCTTGACGATCATCTTAGATACTCCATAGTGTCAAAGAAGTTTCCACATTGTCAAATGCTTTCGCATATCAGTGAAGTTGATGTATAGTGATGAGTTCCACTCAACTGATTGTTCAACGATGATCCTTAGTGTCGTGATTTGGTCTGTGCACGACCGATCCTTACGGAATCCAGCCTACTGATCTTGAAGTTGAGCGTCTACTAAGTCTGTCATCTGGTTCAGCAACACTCTGTTGAGAACGTTTCCTGGTACTGATAGCAGTGTTATGCCTCTATAGTTCTCACATTTGTTCAAATCTCCTTTCTTTAGTATCTTGATGAGATGTCCTTCTTTCCAGTCCAACAGCACCTGTTCTTTCTCGCAAATCTTCCTGAATAGAACGTGCAGCATGTTTGCAGCCGCTTCTGTATCTGGTTGATTGTCAGGTTCTCCTGCTTTCCCGCTCTTGATTTGTCTGATGACCATCCTGGTTTCTTCGGTCGTTGGTGGAGTGACATCTATAAGAAGGTCTGTAGACAATGCCTCGATATCAAATGGATTCAATAGAGCTGGTCTATTCAAGAGTTTCTCGAATTATTCTAGCCATCTGTTCCTCTGTTCTTGAATCTCGATGATTTTCTTGCCTTGTTTGTCATTGACCGGTCTCTCTGGTTTACTACATTTCCCGGCTGCAATTAAACGCAACTCAATTTCGTAAATGTGCCCTTCGACTTAGCAACCAATCAGAATGAGGCGGGAATTGTTACATCCGCCATCTTTGTAAGCAATGGCGGTCGGCTTTCCTCGTTCTGTGCTTCTTTCAGCTATTTCTTTTGTGAAGCTATGTAATATAATGTCTCAGTGTGCTAAAATGCCGCAGTTAGTGTAATGT